GAAGAGTAGGAAAATGGTGATACATGCATATAATGAAATATTAGTGCTCATAGGAAGTGATCAAGCAATGAAAAGACAGGATCAAGTACTAATCATGTATTAATTACTAAATGAAAAAAGCAATTTTAAAAAGGCTAAATATGCCATGATTCCAACCCTACTGACATTCCAGAAAAGACAACTGTAGAGACAATAGGATCAGTGGTGGGGAGACGAAGAGATAAGTAGACATAAGTGGGGGAAAATTTTTTATTTGTTTTGAGGTCTGACTCAGCAGGTGTTCAGGAGGCTACTCACAGTGCTGTGTTCAGAGGTTACTCTTCAAAAGTGCTCAGGGGACTCTGTGTTGCTGGGATAGAATCCAGGCCCCCAAAATGCATAATGTGCTCTAGCCCTTTCACCTATTTCTCTAACCTGGTAGAAAGAATTTTTAAGGCATATTCTATATCACATTGTATTGGTGATACTTGTCATTATACATTTGTCAAAACGAATAGACTGAAATACAACGTGGAACCATAATGTAAACTATAAACTTTGTGTGATAATGATACACAAAGTAAAGGCTTAGGTTTATGGATGGTAACCACTGTGGTGCAGGATAAAGATAGTTAGATCAGGCACATGTAGTCAAAGGGCATAAGGGAACCCCAGTTCTATAGTTTCTGCTCAGTTCTGCTGTGACTTGAAAACTAAATCTGCTGAAGCCAGAGAGATAGTACAATAGGTAGAGTTCTTGCCTTATACATTGGTAAGAGGGTTCAATCTTCGGCAAGCTCAATGGTCCCATGAACCCCTCCAGGGGTGATCCCTGAGCAAAGAGGATTAATCCCTGAGTATCACCAGACAATACCCCCACAAAAAATAATAAGGTAAAGGTAAAGGCCCTCCCGTTGATCGTCGATTTGCTCGAGCGGGCCCAGTAACGTCTCCATTGGAGACTTTGTTGTTACTGTGTCTGGCATATCGAATACTCTCGGTAGCTTGCCGGGCTCTCCGAGAGGGGCGGAGGAATCGAACTCGGGTCGGCCATGTTGGCCACTTGTAAGGCGAACGCCCTACCGCTGTGCTATTGCTCCAGCCCACAAAAAAATAATAATAAAAATGAATCTTCTCTAAAAAAATTAAATTTTTATATATAGCATACTGTCACCGTCACTGTCACTGTCATTGTCCTCCCGTTATTCATCAATTTGCTCGAGTGGGCCCAGTAACATTGTGAGACTTGTTACTGTGTTTGGCATATCAAATACGTCATGGGTAGCTTGCCAGGCTTCACCATGTGGGCAGAGATACTCTCAGTAGCTTGCTGGGCTCTCTGAGAGGGGCAGAGGAATCAAACTCAGGTCGGCCATGTTGGCTGTGTGTAAGGAAAACGTGCTACCGGCTGTGCTATTGCTCCAGCCCTAACTATATATTATATATAGTAATATTATATATTAGATATACTAACTATATTAATAGTATATATAGTATATAGTGATGTATAGTATATATGGCATATAGTATACACAATATATATTTAAACAATAAATATAGTAGATAATATATACAACTATATATAATGCTATACAGAGATTATTCTTTAATTTTGAGTCTATGTTGATTGCATAATGACATGGGTGGTTGCATATATATTCCTGGGACATATCCAATACCGGCTGGATCTCAATACTCAGTAAATGCAGCCTAGGAAATTCTTTCTTTTTTAATTCCAAGTGATTCTGATGATAAACACAATTTTGCAATACATCATTGTCACTGTCACTGTCATCCTGTTGTTCATCGATTTCCTCAAGCAGACACCAGTAACGTCTCCTTTGTCTTAGCCCTGAGATTTTAGAAAGTGCCACATTCAAGGCTCTTTCAGGCCCAGGAGAATAAGATCCATCATTGTTACTGATTTTTGGCATATTGAATATGACACAGGGAGTTTGCCAGACTCTGCCATGTGGGCAGGATACTTTCAGTAGCCTGCCAGGTTCTCCATAGTAAAAACTAGATAATAAGATATCCGGGAGCTGTGTTTTATAGTCTCTGGGTCTTGGCCGTTGATGGAATTACATGTCACCGGAAGCAGTTGGTGGGTGTAATGCTTACATACTGGAAGATGGGGGATCTGGGTGGAGGAGGTCCAGTCCCAATCTGAGCAGGCTTGGAGATCTCAGCCCTGGGTCCCACACACCTGGGACACCTGCAACATTTAGTGCAGAAAATATCATGGGATTTAGAACTGGTCAGATCTAAGTTTGAATCCTGAAGTCACCATTTTCTTTTTGATTTGACAATCTTGGACAAGTTATTAATCTTTATGAAATTCAGGATTCTCACAATATCCACAGTATTTAGATGAGAATTGAAAGAGATAACATTGTTGCTCTGGGCATGATTGGTAGCTGTGACTACAAAGCAAAAGGTCTTATCAATCAGGAAAAATTCTGAAACAAATCCAGGGGGTAGCATAGATACTTCTCTGTTCTTTCCTCACCCCAAGGAAATCTACAGGCACGGCAGATTCTTTGTTCCATAAGTTCTTGGGTCTTCCTCTCCCTCAATTCCATTGCTCTCAAAGTTCTTATGAACCAGCTGCTATCTCCTGCATCTTCACTACATTTTTATGTTCTGCAGAGACTAACATATACCACTATTTTATTAATACTGACCACCTCTTACAATATCTTTAATAAGTTGTGGTGTTTTTTAAAATACCACCTCCATCCCCCACCTGGAGTATTTTACACATTAAACACTCAACTTTCTAACTTCAATTGAAAAAAATCACTCCCTCAAAAATATTTCTTGGACTTTCCCCTCTTCTCTCTTTCTTTCATATTATTATGTTTTTGAGAGTAACTGTAACCACGTGTAACAGATGGGGTAGATTAAAATAACAAAGATATTGTCTTAACAGTACTAATGAGGTCTAAGAAAGAACAAAATCATGCAATTTGAAGCAGCATGGATGTAATTAGAGACTATCAAGCTAAGTGAAGTAAGTCAGAAAAAAATAATAGATACATAATGATCTCTTTCAAATGTGAGATTTAAAGATACACAGTAAGCTAAAAAGTCCAAACACAACATAATGGGAGAACTGATCCACACAACAGAATTGGGGAGGGGGGGAAGGGTAAAAGGGAGGAGTCTCGGGGTCCTTGGTGGAGGAGTAGGTACACTGGTGTTGGGTATGGTGTTAGAATTATGTGAATGAGAAACCATCATTAACAGTATTGTAAGACACAGAACCTCAATTTTTTTACTTAATAAAAGACAGTGCTGGAAGCTAGAAGTCTGAAAAGTAGCTATGATCACCACTAGAGCACTAATGCTAGACATTTAGTTTGAGTTGGAAGTGTAGACAGGGATTGTTTCTTTAGAGACTGCTAGAGGAACTTCTTCAAGTCAGCTTCTGGTGATTTTCTGGCAATCTATAGTGTTCCTTGGCTTGTAAAGCACCACCTCAATCTCTGCTTTCACCTTCATATGATATCTTCTCCATGTGCATATCTATGCCCAACAAGGGGGACACCAGGCATACTGGATTGAGGATCTACCCTTAACTAATTGCAATCTTCAAGGTACTCCACTTTCATTATAGGGGCTAGAGCAATAGCACAGCGGGTAGGGCATTTGCCTTGCAAACAGCTGAACCGGGTTCGATTCCCAGCACCCCATATGGTCCCCTGAGCACCGCCAGGGTTAATTCCTGAGTGCAGAGCCAGGAGTAACCCCTGTGCATCGCCAAGTGTGACCCAAAAGCAAAAAAAAAAGTCACATTCTAAGGTATTAGGGGCTAAGAATTCAACACATGAATTGAAGGGGATACAATTCAACTCATAACATCCCTTCCCCCCATATCTGAAGAGGAGTCCTTCAGTTAAATATTGTCATAATCCTTCCCTGCAGACTTTTTTTTCAAAGCACTGCTCGCAGTGCTTATTAGTAACCAATCAACTATTAACTAACCAATGACAAAATATAACTGGATTTCCTCCTTCATAGACAGTATACTTCAAGAGGAAGCATGCTCATTTTTGAGAACTATTGCACACTGTGCCTGGTATGTGCAGTCACTCAGTGAGGACTTTCTGAGTGAACAAATGAACTGTGACACTCTAAAGCCACCTCATAGTATGTCAAGGTCAAGACATCAGCCTCTATCTCAACAACTTCCCAGGGCTCCAATTTCTTTTTTTTTCTTTTTAGATTTTTATTAGTGAAACACCATGAGGTACAGTTGTAGATTTACATTTTTGTGCTTGGGTTTCAGTTATACAATGATCGAATACCCATCCGTCCACCAGTGCCTATTCTCCACCACCACTGATCCCAGTAATTAAGGCTCCAATTTCTAAGGACATTAAATCTGAGGCAAGTGCGGCTGGAAACGGATCCACTAGTTCATTGATATTTTCCACTTTTACTGATCCCTTAAAACACCAACATGATCTCCTCACAAACCCGTGCCCTGCTAAAAAAACCATGTTTAAGATTTGTTAGCACACTGCATTTTCATTGTAAACTGATTCCTAAGCACTGGTAAGTATTATTGAAGAGGCTGAGGGAGTTACTTTTGAGATCTTAAAAATAGGTCATGTCCCTAAGGAAAAAAATAGCTCAGTTCAGTGGTTAAGGAATGAATAAAATTAAGTGACTTCTTGGTGCTTCTTTCATCTTTAATAACCTTTGTTGTTTGATAACTTTGGACATGAATCCTCAATGCAGTCAGAAAAGGGATTCTTAGTCTTTTAACTCTCTGACCAATATTTAGATCAATATGTCACTGTCAGCACAACAGAAGAATAAAAAAAAAAGATTCAGATAGCCTGAAAAGCCTTTTACACTCTAATGACCGTAATGCTGTTGAAATTGCTTTTCCTTGAACTCTCAGAAATAGGAGCTGTTTTTGCAAAATGTTGAGATACTTTAATGCCTGACTTTTACGTTTCATCATCCCATGGCATGAGAAATGCTAACTCCTCTCAATGTTGGACTTCCAGAAGCTTGAGCCCATTGACCTGCCACACACACTTACTTCTGGAAGGTTCCTGCAACATCGAGAATCTGGGAGAACAAAGGTGAATATTGGCATGAGAGGAGGAATTGGGTGGATGGGGTTAGGGTGGTGTCTGCATGGAACCGGGGTGTGTGGTCCTTTTACATATTCTTTGCACAGAATACTAAGAGAATAATGAAACTCTACTAATAATACTAATTACTAATAAGTCTACTAATAATACTAATATAAATGAAACTCTCAGCATTAGAATGTTTCAAAGTTGTCCATCCTTTCCAGGGTCTGCCTCCACCTGGCAATTACTCTTTGATGATGCTTCCTGGTAAAGACAGGGAGATATAGATGAGACAGAAATTTTTTATGGACACCAATGATTCCAGAAGCTTTAAAACCTGCTGAAATACAGCTTTATAACCCTTTGCCTTTCCACCCTCCATTTATACCTTTTGCTTCACTCACAGTGTTCATCGGGACACATCTGGAAATTTTTTCTGACTTCACTATCACAGCCCCACAAAATGTAATCCTAAAATGGGATCTTCTTTAGAGTTTTTTCCTTGTATAAGTTAATTACACTCTTTTGAGAAAACTCCCCTCAATAGAAATAAAACTTGTGGTGTAGGAGTATATTTTCAACACTTCTGATTGATTTTGAAGCCAACTTGATGCCGCCATGTGCTGGCTGACTCAGTAAAGATATCCAAAAACTTCAGATCCTCAAGGTCATGTTTGTGATCCTAACTATTCTTGGGAGAATGGTTGCACTCCCTGAGAGTAGCTTCACCTAACGTAGTCACAGTTTACAGGGCTGCCATATGCTTCTTACCTGGTGACAGCAAGTGATAAGAATATCATCATTCCTCAAAAACTCTTTGTATTTTTCCACTGGATATATATGGATATATATAGTTTAGATAGATATATGGTTTAGATATTATAAATATATATTATATATGTATATCAAGATTGTATTGATATATAGAGGGTGTATTCTAGCATAATGTACTACATATATACTACCACACAATACCTATTTCCCCTCTAATTTCAGAGCCAGGTTAGTAGTCAATGACTGACGATACAGGGAGTTAATGGCAGGTTGATAATGCAAATTTTATTTGAACATTCTAACCAGAATATATTTCTAGGGAGATAGTTATCGGCATGTCAACAAGGAAAATGATAGCTTGTCAAAGTAAGTGATAGAAAAGTATTTCCATTCCAGCTCTTCAAAGACCTACAGAAACCTTTAAAACTATATCACATATCTAAAAACTTAATAGAGAACTGCAATGGTGAATCTTTTTCTCATGGGAGATCCAAATTAATTACAGTTGATGATTAAAATTATTTCGCTGTGTCCCAAAAAAGATTTCAAGTTTTGGATCTCAGATAATGTCAATAATGAATTAGATGTTTTAAAACAAATTTATATGACTGAATAAGCAAATTGTATGCTTTAATTAAAACAAAACATATATGTCTCCTTTCATAGCAGGACCTGGAAAAGAAGATGCAAATTCCAATGTATACTTCTGGGAAAAGACAATATTTACATAAGATGCAAATGCTGGAAATGAACCGTAAGAGACAAGAGGTAAATATGAGAAGAAGATTGTCATATTTACCAAATCTACTCCACACAATCACTGTCCTACCACGTGAATATTGTTAAGTATTCATCTCTGATCTTTACTTAGCATTTTAAATTTAATCACCAGAGTGGAGGTTCTACTGTAGGAGCTGGTAGTTTCAGTAAGATTTCCCCTCTGCTACTGACCCTCTTGAATTTTTCTGCCTTTGGTTCTCTTAAATGTGTATCAGGGTCTCAAGTCTCTTTCTTTGTATATCTCTGTCTGACTGTGTCTATCTGTCTGTCTGTCTGTATCTATCTATCTATCTGTCTATCTATCTATCTATCTATCTATTTTTCTCTCTCTCAGTTTTAGCAGTTTGTTCCTATAACATTGTGGTTCCAGCAGGAAAATAAGATTAAATAATTTTATTTGGTAAAAATTTAACTTGTTTTTTATTTTAGGTATCTTTCTCTCTATAATTCATATTTATATTTCATATAATTCATGTAGAACATATCTCTTGTAACATGTCCTTTACAGTGCTGTCCCCCATAACTGTCACATTCCAGTCTTCCCAGTTTGGTAAGTAAGCCTGCAGTCTACTTCCTCTGCACTTACAGACACATCAGCCCATAGAGAACTACAGAGAATATGTTCTGTCACTGTCACTGTCCTCCCATTGTTCATGGATTTGCTTGAGTGGTCCCAGTAACATTGTGAGACTCGTTACTGTGTTTATGTCACAGGTTGCTTGCCAGGCTTTACCGTGCCAGGGAGATACTCTTGGTAGCTTTCCAGGCTCTCCAAGAGGGGCGGAGGAATTGAACCTAGGTCGGCCAGGTCAGCCAGGTACAAGGCAAATCCCCTACCCATTGTGCTATTGCTCCAGCACAGTATATTCTGTGAACTACAGAAAATATTTACAAAGACTCACATCGTAATCAGGCCTCATTCTGTTGAAACCAAGGGCTTGTTCTCATTCCTCCCAACAAGTCTGTGCATAAATTTTCCATAATTTGTAATTGTAAAAATGATAAAGAAACCCACATTCTGGTGAGAGAACCACAAATATCCACAAACACACACAACTTGCAAAGTATCCACAAACACACACAACTCACAACAACCTGCTGACCTATTCCAGTGAAAAATTCTCTTGGTGAGAACATTGATTGTTCACAGCTGATTCTTTCCAGGCCCAGGAGGAGTTAAAGAAGAGTCTTCAAAGAGAAGCAAGAATTAACAAGCAAAAGCTCAGAGATCATAAGGCCAAGAAAATCCTTCAAAAATCTCCAAGAAATGATGATGATGAGTTGCTTACCTTGCTGCCTGATGAAACTGTGAATAGAAGTCTAGGTGAGTCATAGAAATTTTCAGTAAAATAAACTATTATGAGTGGTGTTTAAAATTTTTCATCAAATAAACTTCCAAAAGGGATTGGGTAAGGGAGAGGAAATAGCCTAGAGTTCATATTAATATTTGCCTCTTTTAATATAATGAACAGGTTGACATAAAATATGGGATTGTAGGGAGGAAAAGACAGATGCTGAAGCACAATAGCAAGATTTCTCTTTCTTGTTAGGGGTCTACTGTACTTTTATTTGCATTGTTGCAGAATTCTTTCTTCACTCCCAGGAGGAGACAAAGCAAAAGGGTATCATTTTATGCTTTTTTTTTTTTTTTTTTTTTTTTTTTTTTGGCGGTGGGAAGGTGTAATGGTGGTGGGATTGGTGTTGAAATATTGAATATAATCAATTAACGTGAACAACCTTATGAAAATAAAATTTTAAAATAAAAAATAAGCTATGATGGATTACAGAATAATCTTTCTGTTTGGGAAAATAAGTAACAAATAAACTTTTTGAGTGGGGGACACACCCAGTTTGGCTCAGGGCTATCTCTTGGTTTTTTTTTTTTTTTTTTTTCTTTTCCCTTTATTTTATTTTATTTTTTTTAAAGTTGTAGATTTACAATTTTTTGTGCTTTGGTTTCAATTATACAATGATCAGATACCCATCCCTCCACCAGTGCCCATTTTCCACCACCATGGATAATATCCCTCCCACCCCCATCCCCCCATCCCCCCATCTCTGTGGCAGGGCAATCCCCTGTGTTCTCTCTCTCCTTTTGGGTGTTGTGGTCTGCAAAAGAGGCATTGAGTGGCAAACATGTTCAGTCCATAGTCTACTTTCGACATGCATCTCCCCTCCTGGGAGGATCTTCCAAACATCCTTTATTTGGTGCTCCCTTCTCTATCTGAATAGCCCTTTCCTCTAGGATACCCGGCTGGCCTCTAAGTTATGGAGTAATCCTCCTGGTGCTGATCTCAGCTATTCTTGGGTATTAATCTCATACTTTGTTACTTTATATCCCCCAGATGAATGCAATCTTTCTATGTCTATCCCTCTCTTTCTGACTCATTTCGCTTAGCATGATACTTTCCATATTGTACCACTTGTTTGTAAATTTCATGACTTCATCTTTTCTAAGAGCTACATAGTACTCCATTGTGTAGATGTACCAAAGTTTCTTTAACCAGTCATCTGTTCTTGGGCATTCAGGTTTCTTCCAGTTTCTGGCTATTGTAAAGAGGGCTGCAATGAACAAACAAGTGCAGATGTCACTTCGACTATACATTTTTGCCTCTCTGGGATATATTCCCAGGAGTGGTATTGCTGGGTCAAATGGGAGCTCAATTTCTAATTTTTTGAGAATCGTCCATACTGTTTTCCAGAAGGGCTGAACCAGTGGACATTCCCACCAACAGTGAAGGAGTGTCCCTTTCTCGCCACATCCACGCCAGCATCGGTTGCTTTTGTTCTTTTGAATGTGGGCCAGTCTCTGAGGTGTGAGATGGTATCTCATTGTGGTTTTGATCTGCATCTCCCTGATGATTAATGATGTAGAGCATTTTCTCATGTGCTTTTTTGCCATTCGGATTTCTTCTTTGAGAAAGTTTCTGTTCATTTCATTGCCCCATTTTTGGATGGGGTTGGATGTTTTCTTCTTGTGGAGTTTAACCAGTATTTTGTATATCCTGGATATCAACCCCTTGTCAGATGTGTATTCGGTGAATATCCTTTCCCATTCTGTAGACTGTCTTTGTATTTTGGTCACTGTTTCTTTGGAGGTGCAGAAGCTTCTTAGTTTAAGATAGTCCCATTTATCTATCTCTGTTTTCACTTGCTCGGCCAGTGGCGTGGCATCTTTGAAGATACCATTAGCTTCAATGAGCCATCTACCACAAGCCTACAGCAAGCATCATCCTCAATGGGGAAAAACTGAGAGCCTTCCCTCTAAGATCAGGGACGAGACAGGGATGCCCACTCTCTCCACTGCTGTTCAATATAGTACTGGAAGTACTTGCAATAGCGATTAGGCAGGAAAAAGATATTAAGGGCATTCAGGTAGGAAAGGAAGAAATCAAGCTCTCACTATTCGCAGATGATATGATACTCTACTTAGAGAACCCAATAACTTCCACCAAAAAACTCTTAGAAACAATAGACTCGTATAGTAAAGTTGCAGGTTATAAAATCAATACTCAAAAGTCCATGGCTTTCCTATACGCAAACAGTGAGAGAGAAGAAAGCAACATGAAAAAAACAATCCCATTCACAATTGTGCCCCAGAAAATCAAGTACCTAGGAATCAGCTTAACTAAGGAAGTAAAGGACCTGTACAAAGAAAACTACAAAACGCTACTTCAGGAAATAAAAGAGGACATGAGGAAATGGAAAGATATCCCCTGCTCATGGGTCGGGAGACTTAACATTGTCAAAATGGCAATACTACCGAAAGCATTGTATAAATTCAATGCAATCCCTATAAGGATACCCATGACATTCTTCAAAGAAATGGAGCAAACACTCTTGAAATTTATATGGAACAATAAGCCCCCACGAATAGCTAAAGCAATTCTTGGGAAAAAGAAAATGGGAGGAATCAACCTCCCGAACTTCAAACTGTACTACAAAGCAGTAATAATTAAAACAGCATGGTACTGGAACAAAGGCAGAACTGCAGACCAATGGAACAGGGTTGAATACACTGACATCTCTCCTCAATCATATGCTCATCTAATCTTTGATAAAGGTGCAAGTAATGTGAAGTGGAGTAAGGAAAGCCTCTTTAATAAATTGTGTTGGCATCACTGGATGGCTACATGCAAAAAAATAGGCTCAGAACTCTGCCTAACACCATGTACAAAAGTAAGATCAAAATGGATTAAAGACCTCAACATCAGACCAGAAACCATAAGGTACATTTTATGCTTTAAAACCTCGAAGGACATGGAGATATATCAAATGGCAATTGGGTATTAGTCAGTTTAGTGCCATACAATACCTTCCCCTGAAGGTCAGCTTTGTTTGTTTGATTGTTTGGAGCCATTGTGCTCAAGACCTACTCCTGACTTTGTGCTCAGGGATCACTCCTGGAGGTGAACCATATGTTTGGGATCATATGTTGTTGCTGGAATCAAACCAGAATTGGCTGCATGCAAGGCAAAACTCTGCACTGTATCTCTGTTCCTCAGCCCTCTTTAATGTACCTGAATATCTGAAACTAAACCCAGCTCCACAGCCCACCCCAAACTGCATGCACTGTCTCAGTGGGTGAGACCTCTAGACATACATCATTTAGGTTAGAAATGGAGGCATCCTTCCAACCCTCTGCTTGCAGCAGTTTATCACAATGTCCTGCAGTTTATCACAATGTCCTGTTTGCATCAGTGATATTGAAATCTGCTTTCATTCTCCCATACCCAATGCCAGCATCATATCACAATACAGTGGTGCTATTTCTGCTACCTCTTAACTGTACTTCTTCCTTCTGATCTTGCTCTCCTTCTATCAGTCCTCCTGGTGGCTCTCAGCATTGTCCCAGAAACCAGAATCAGCATCTTCGTGGGTTCATTTGAGACCAATCAAATGACTAACTCAGATACTATGGAGCCAGGGGCGGTACGCTGGGTTTAATAATCCTTACAGTTAATTCAGATCTAAAGTTTAGGGGGCATTTTAAGTAATTCTATTTGGGAATCAGAGTATTAGCCACAGATTATTAGCATACCTGGAACTTTTATGAAAAGCGGAATTTCAGGCTCAACCTCAGACCTTCATCAGAATCTTAATTTTATCAAAATAACAAGGTAATTCTCCTGTGCAATGAAGTCCTAGAATCACCACAGTAATAGCAGAGCAAGCATATCAACAGTGGTTTTCAACTGCAGTTTTCAACTGGTGCTGGTCCACAAACATAAAGGATTGAAACCCACCGGTATAAAATGAAAATTCATACTTTTCCCTCTCTTGCTAATAAAAAATAAATAAATAAATAAATTCAATGAGTTTCCATGAACCAAAGAACAGTCTCAACTCCTCACCATGGTTCCCCTGAATACTCCAAGAGCTAGATACTGCAACTTTGCTCGCTTTGACCCTGCCCAATCCACATATCACAGCCATACCAGAGCAGATTATTTAGTGACCTCATATTGCTCTGAATTCCAAAGAATATCCATGTCAACAAGCCCTCAGCTATGTTGCTCTTCCAGAGTCCTCGTAAGTTCTGCTGTCTGTAATATCCCAGGGCCAATACACTTGCAACTGAACATAGGCAGCAATGCACACAGATTGCTGGGTGTGGGCCAAATGGCCACATCAGCAAGATTGAGAACTAAAGGATCATTGGAAATGCTGGCCATGTCTTCTAAGATCATCTTCTAAGCAAAATCTCCTGCTGAGAGACACTACCCCTGCTCAGAGAACACACTGCTTAATCAATAGCTTAATTAAACAAGAAAAGGCTGAATAATTGAAAATCTACTTGGGGAATCTATTTAACCCATCTTCTCAACTGCCAGCATAAAACATGCTGTGTAGTCCCATACACAACTCATGCAATTTAAAAATACTGGCAAAACAACTAAGAACAGTTCCTGAGATAATGTTAGACACTCAAAATCGTTATTTAAGAGCAGGCCAAGAAGCATCAACATTAGTAAAGTATTTGGGAGATGTGCAGAACTAAAGGGGACAGAAAAGACTGACATAAGGTGAAGTAAAATTTTCTCCTTTTTCTTGATCTTTCATTTTATACCAGGTTAACACTGATGGAACCAAGCACCGTGATCTGCCCTTAACATGTGTTGCACTGTAGCACTGTCCTCCCATTGTTCATCAATTTTCCTGAGCGGTACCAGTAATGTCTCCATTTTGAGACTTGTTGTTACTATTTTTGACATACCGAATACGCCACAGGGAGCTTGCCAGGCTCTACCATGCAGGTGGGATACTCTTGGTAGCTTGCTGGGCTTTCCAAGAGGGATGGAGGAATTGAACCTGGTTTGGCCATGTGCAAACGCCTTACCCTCTGTGCTATTGTTCCAGCCCTAACATGCATTATCTCATTTAATCGTCACTCAGTATATGAGAACTTACTCTAAGACCCTCACCTCCATCCCCTTCTTGTATTGCTCCTTCACTACTCCAAAGTCTTGAAGTTTTGTCTAGGTTAACCTTGGAAAAAATATGCAAATATAAAGTTTGTGATTTCTTCATCTTTTCCTTTATTGACTGCCAACAAAAAACAACCACTGTATTTCAGCAGCAAAATGGGTTTATTCAGAAACAACAACCAAAAGGTAATTTGGAAAGTACATCTTCATGGAAGACATGTATATTTTCACAAACAAATGCCAGAATTATTAGGTTAATGTTTTCTTTGACTCACACCCAGGAGTGCTAGGTTTTACTCCTGGCTCTGCATTCAGGGACCACTTCGAGCAGGCTCAGGGGACCACACCAAGTGTCGGGAATCCAATTTGGGTCACCCATATGCAAGGCAAAAGCCCTCCTCACTGTGTACTATGTCACTCTGGGTACTTATGTAGCTTTGAAAGGCAGCCATTTTGGGACAAAAAAATTGTTTCTTCTGGTGCAAGAAGCATCATCTTTTCCTGTTGGATTCAGATCTGTAGTTTGCTAACTATATATGGAATGTACACTCTCTCAGGCCCCTCCTCTAAGCCTTTTTTATCTTAAAATTATATTTTATGTACTGTACAATATCTAAATATCACTTAAACATAACTTACTTGAATTATTATATATTATTAATTATATATTTTATAACCTTATTTTTACACCCTAAAATTTGATGTGAATTATACACTACCCAGTGCATCTCAGTTTAACCCCTTTAGTATTTCAATAGTCACTTGCAACTCTATTGTATAATATGGCTATTATATTAACTTCAGAATTCTAAGTCTTAATGATTTTTTCTAATCTATCAATTGTGGAAAGAATGATGTTAAAAACTCCATCTTTGATAACAGAGTGGCTATTTTTTCCTTTTGTTTTGTCAGCTTACCCCACTTATTTTAAAACACTATTATTAATCTATTTATAACTTTGACATTTTATTGATGTCTGACTTCTTTGCACTATGAATTGCTGCTGTTTGTCTTTATTATAGAAGATATTATGATGCCAAATATGTCTGATATTGATATAGGTTAGTCAGCTTTTTTACATAATATATCATTTTCTGTCATTTTAGTTTCAAATTATGTGTCTTGTATCTAAAGTGAATTTTTTTGTGGGTAGTACATAATTGAGTCTTACTTTCTTAGATATAGTCTAGAGGCTGAGATATGGTTCCTGTGCAAGATCCTGAGTTCTAGCACAGCCACTATATTCTATCCCCTCCAATTCACATCTGCACCCTACATTACAGGGTATGACCCCCAAAACAAATACAGCTGTGGAGGAGATATCTCAGTAGTAAAATGTATGACTCTGATACTTGAGGCCCTGATTTCAACTTGAGACTCTGCAAAAATAAATAAATAAATAAATAAATAAATGGTCTTTAACCCACTGTACACCCCCATGTCTTTTGAATAGTGAGTCTACATAATAATTTTCATACTATATAAAGCATACTTCCCTCTGCAAGACCTGTTGACTGTACCACTGCACTAGGCATATGATTAAACAATGATGCTCATTTACTTATTTGCATCTTTGATTTCTTTTTCTTCTCAAAATGATCTCTCTTTATTTTCCTTCGTAAAAGTGAAGTATAGTCAACAACACAGACTTATATGTGTGATCTTCTAGTTCTGGTGATTAAGATTCCACTGTTTCCAACACTGCTTATTAAACACTGTACTTAACTATTATTGTTCCCTTCTTTGGAAGTTAAGATGAGAGTTTTAGTAATCTAGTGAGACAGAATCTGGCTTTGTTTTCTTCATCCGCTTGAAAATAAAATCAACCATTTGCCTTACAGATATTTTACAGGTTTATATAAAAAATTACTTACAACATATAGTAATATGTTACTGACACAAAGGGAACAGCACTCTTTTGACTGAAATTCTCTGAGTTGTAATCTGTTTGTATGGCTCCTGCCCTCTCCTCTGTTAGGAAAAGCACTGTGCTTGGGACCTAGGAGACAGTACAAAGTTTAATGTGTCTGTCTAACAAAACTGAGGTCAAGACCCTAGTTTGAACTCCAACGCTTCATATGGTCCCCGAGCACAGACAGGAGTGGCCCTGAGCATTCAGTCAAGAGACCACTAAACACTGCAGGATGTCTACCCCCCAAAGGAAGGAAGGAAGGAAGGAAGGAAGGAAGGAAGGAAGGAAGGAAGGGAGGGAGGGAGGGAGGGAGGGAGGAAGAAAGAAAGAAAGAAAGAAAGAAAGAAAGAAAGAAAGAAAGAAAGAAAGAAAGAAAGAAAGAAAGAAAGAAAGAAAGAGGGGTGGGGTTGGAGCAATAGCACAGCAGGTAGGGCATTTGCCTTGCACTCGGCCAACCCGGGTTCGATTCCCAGCGTCCCATATGGTCCCCTGAGCACTGCCAGGAGTGATTCCTGAGTGCAGAGCCAGGAGGAACCCCTGTGCATTGCCAGGTGTGACCCAAAAAAAGAAAAAAAAAAAGAAAGAAAGAAAGAGGGAAAAAAGCGCTGTGCTTGAAATCAAATTCCTTCAGTTGGGCTCCAAAAGCATGTTTACAAAACACAAACTGCAAAGGAAGAGTTTTTTGGTTGCTATTCCTACAATAATTGTTGGTATTTCCTAATATCACAACAAATATTAGCTATATCTTTGTGTATGTTACTTTTTTTCTTTAGAGGTTACAGACAAGTTCCAGTTATTAAACATTTGTGAATTCCTATTTCCACATCCCTAAAATAGGTTTAGGGGCCAGAAAGACAATAACGAGTTAAGGCCTAACCCTGGTTCCATCCAAGCACCACAGGGTTTGGCCTAAGGGCTCCTGAGAACTACCAAGGTGGCCCAAGTAATCCAGGCAAAGCAGGGTGTGAGCTGTATTACAGTCTATTCTCGGGCCCTCACTTTGAATTACCTGCCTTATTGGCTGAGAATCACTGGGAGAGACTTCCAAGCCTCTGAGTTTAATTTGGGAAGTTCAAAATAAAATAAAATAGGGGGCCAGAGTGATAGTACAATGGGTAAGGCATTTGCCTTGCAGGCAGCCAATCTGGGATTAAACCCCAGAATCCCATATGGATCCCCGAGCACTGCCAGGAATAACCCCTGAGTGCAGAGCCAGGAGTAACTCCTGAGCATTACCGGGTATGACCCAAACAGCAAAGAAAAAAAAAAGATAAAATAGGAATAAAGTATTGTCCATCAAGATATAGGGTTTTATGTGGGGATCTTTCTTTAACCTTATATATACATAATTTTGAAATAATACCAACCTCATTATTTTGTTCATAAACACCAAGCATTGAAGCAAATGCATCATTGTTCATTGTTAGGGGAGAAGTTGGATTAAATAAACTTTCTATTTTTTTTTGTAGGACATTCACAGAATGCAGAATTTTGGGATCTTCCAACAAAAAATGACGATTCTCCCCGGAAAATAGGCAAAATGGAAACATGGTTCCGTGAGCAGGAGGCCCGGGGACAGCTACTATGGGATAGCTCAAGCTCGGACTCAGATGAACTGGGGAAAGATGAGAAAAAATCACGAGCGCTGGTGAGGACCAGAACAGAGAGAATCCCACTTTTTGATGAGTTTTTTGACCGAGATTAATAATGCTCTTAGCTAACTGACATCCCATGCACATTGAAAGTTCCTGGATTTCCTGTAATAACCCTTCAGGCTAGCATAAGAGTGATTCTGAGAACACACACTCACTTTTCATTTGGAGGCTCAGAATCAGCAAGTGTGGCTTACATTGCTAATTATATGCGTAACTGCCTGAAAACGTAAAGGCAAAGGAAAGCTTGACTATCTCACCATGAAGAGCTGGGCTCATTTGGGCCTTTCTTTTTTTTTTCTTTTTTCCTAAGCCTTTCTTTTTGCCTTTCTCTCTCAAGTCTTTTCTGGCAGCTAGAACTGGAGTCCTCTGGAAGCTTGAGTGGGACACAGAGGTAGCAACAATCCCCTCTCCATACTGTTTCAGAGACTCTTGGTTCCCAAGTCTCATGTTTGCTATATCAAGGTAGTGAATTTGCTATGATATTAGCCAAGAACTTTCAAAAGCAACCATCCCAAGAGAAGAAAGCAGAAACTGCCCAGACTTTAAAGGTTCATCCTGGATCCAATGCCACATCATCTTTAGCATGTTCTGTTCACTGAAGTAAGCATTAGACCAGTTGAGTCATTGGAAAGGGGGCTCTTTCCAAAGCATGATTCACTGGGCTCTGTCTCTGAGACCTGACACCACACCAATTTTTTCATATAAGGGCCACACCCAGAAGAGCTCATCTTCACCCTGCCTGGAATACTTGTTGGTGTTGGGAGTCCCTGTGACACCAGGGATTGCACTCAGGGCCCTGAACATGCTAGGCATTCACTCTAGCTATCTCCCTGACATTCCGCCAATATTTTTTAACAAAGTACATACGTAGATTTTATATATGTGAGCATGAGGTTTTAAAGAATATTTGGTAATTAGATATTAGACGTTAAACTCACTTGAGTCACTTTAGGGGCTAGAGTGACAACACAGTGGGTAGGGTGTTTGCCTTGCACGCAGCTGACCCGGTTTCAAATCCCAGCATCCCATATGGTCCCCTGAGCACTGCCAGGAGTAATTCCTGAGTGCAAAGCCAGGAGTAAAACCTGAGCACTGCTGGGTGTGACCCCCAAAGGCAAAAAAGCAAAACAACAAACAAACTTGAGTCACTTTATTATTAAGTTTTGGGGCCAAATATGGCAGTTCTCAGGGGTTACTCCTGGCTCTGTGACCAGAAATCACTCCTGGTGGGCTCGGGGAATCATATGGGATGCCAAGGATTGAACCTGGGTCTCAGCAGCGTGCAAGGCAAGTGCCCTACCCACTTTACTATCACTTTGGATCCCCATTTGTGCCATTTTCCTAGGAGTTAGCAGCTTATCACATATGAGAGGTTATAGGAAAGAGAAGTGATAATGTTCAGTATAGAAATTCATTAATGTATTTATGACTAGAGTTCAAAATTCTGTGAAGATCTCCTAGATTATAAAGTAGATCTTATAACTTTTTACAAAGTAGATCTTTTCCTAGATTATAAAGTAGATCTTAGAACTTAAAGGAACAAATGCTTAGGCCAAACATTATTTCATTGACAAAAATTACTTTTTAAGGCACTTTTAATAGCTTGACATAAAATTAGGCTCCACTTTGAGCATATCTTTAAAACATTCTCTTAAGTAATCCAAAAACTCCTAACAATTTAATGAAACCATTGGAAAAACAAAAAAGAAAACCCAAATACCCTTTTAAGACTTCTCACAGAAAGTTATTTTTTTTAAAGAAAGAGAAAATAAGGAGTCATCACCCAAATTTTACATTCAGTTAGTTCATTGATAGATATTCAAATTTCTTCCAGAATCATCTCTGGTCATTTTTATGCCCAGTTCTTTTTCAGAATATGTCTTCTCTGGATCTAAAAGTGAGTGCAGGAGGTGTAGAATTTGTCTTGCCTGTTGCCAACCCATTTTTATCCCTAGCACTTCATATGATCCCCAAGCACCACCAAAGGTCACTTCAGTACAGAGTCAGGAAGAGCTCCTAAATATCACTGGGTAAAGCCCAAAACACCCACTCTCCCTGCTTCCACCAAAAAAAGAAAATATATTCTTACTTTTTCTATGATAGATAAAAAGCGTATTTCTTTTTTTTAACTTGTTTATTGAATCACTGTGAGATAGACCCTTACAAAACTGCTCATGATTGGATTTCAGTCATACAGGATTCCAACACCATCCCTCCACCAGTGTACATTTCCCAGGACCAATGTCCCCCGGTTTCCTCCCATCACCCCCCAACTCCCTACCTGCCTCTGTGGCAGACACTTTTCTTCTCTCTCCTTCTGTCTCTCTGTCTCTGTTTCTCTGTCTCTGTCTCTCTTTCTCTCTCTCTACTTTTGGGCATTGTCACTTAATCACTTAATCACTTAAGTTCCCGTTAGTCATCGATGTGCTCGAGCAGGCGCCAGTAATGTGTCCATTTGTCCCTGTCGCGTGCTAGTGTAGCCCAATGGCATCTGTTCGCTCCGGGAACATGAAGAGCCTCAAACCGATCGTTCATGATCTTCACGAAGAAATCTGACCATCTGGTAGGTGGGCAGCCACGCGGTCTTTTGACATCCCGTGGAATGCAGTCGGTAACAGCTCTAGTCCAGCGGTCGTCTTTAAATCTCATTACGTGACCAGCCCATCTGATTTTCGACACCTTGGCAAATGAGACAGTATCCCTGATTCTTGATTGTCGATGGATGTCAGAACTCCGGATTCTTTCTCTCATTTGAGTGAAACGTGATATTCCAAGCATAGCTCTTTCTATTCTTCTTTGGGAGACCTGAATAGCGTTCTCATCTTGTTTGCGTAGGGTCCAGGTCTCTGAGGCATATGTTAATGCAGGAAGAACAGTGGAATCAAAGAGATGTGCCCGGAGCCGGAGGTTCTTCGTCCTCTTAGCTATTTCTTCGATGTTCTTGAAGGCGTTCCAAGCCGCTCTCTTCCTCCTGCGCAGCTCGGGTGCCAGGTCATTTGTCATGTTGACCTCTCGACCTAGGTACACATAGCTGTTGCATTCGGAGATGGTCGTTCCGTTGAGAGCGAATGGGGCGTCAGGAACGAGGCTGTTTCTCATAAACATTGTCTTCATAAGATTCAGCTGTAGTCCTACCTTTCCACACTCATGGTCAAAGTCGGCCAGCATTTGTGCCGCTTGGCTGATGTTTGGTGTTATTAAAACAATGTCATCAGCAAAGCGGAGGTGGTGTAGTTGCCGACCATCTATCTTCACTCCCATTCCTTCCCATTCCAGTCGTCACATGACGTTCTCGAGGGTGTCACTGAAGAGTTTCGGTGAAATGGTATCACCCTGCTGAACCCCTCTCTTGACATCAACGATCACTTCTTTGTAGAATGGTGAGATCCTGGTAGTGAATCCGCAATATAGCTCACGGAGGATCCTGATGTATTTGGCTTGAATGCCCTGATTGGCTAGGGCTTCAATGACCGCTTCCCTCTCAACAGAATCAAAGGCCTTCTTTAAATCAATGAACATTAAACAGAGCGGCATCTTTAACTCCCGAGAAACCTCAATGAGCTTGGTTATTGTGTGGATATGGTCAATGGTGCTGAATCCTTTGCGGAACCCGGCTTGCTCGCATGGTTGTCCTTCATCTAGTGTTCTGCCAATCCTATTCAGGATGACTCGAGTGAACAACTTGTAGATGACAGACAATAGGCAGATCGGGCGATAGTTGCCAATGTCAGGGATGTCTCCCTTCTTGAACAGTAGTACGGTCCTGCTGGTTTTCCATTGGGACGGAACCTTGCATTCAGACAGGTAGCGAGTGAAGAGCCGAGCCAGTGTATTGATGAGTACTGACGGCAGGTTCTTCAGGTGTTCAGGTCTGACCTTGTCTGGGCCAGGTGCTGTTTGTTTCTTTACCAACGAAATGGCGTGTCGGATTTCGGAAGGGAGAACGTTGGGAATGGCATATCCATCCTGTGGAATTTGGTATGTCGGCAAGTGGACATGGCTATCGAAGAGATTTGAATAGAAGTCATGGATAATATTCTCCATTGCCGTTCTGGAGGAACGTTCTACTTCCTCTACCCAGCCGTCGCCACACTCCAGGATGCTTTCCAGACCCACGTGGCAGCTCCGGCCGAGACTCACGCACGACTGAAGACCCACAGAACAAGATAAGCGGAACTCTCTGAGACCTTGGGCTCCAGGCTCGGCGGACCCAGGGACAGAGCTTCTCTGCTTGCTCCCACCAACCACAGGTGACAAAGGGATTCTTGGGCATTGTGGTTTGCATTATTGATACTGAAAGGTTATCAAGACTTCCCCTTTACCTACAAAAAAAAACATTTCCTACAGAGAAATATATAAATTGTTTGGCCAGTCATACTTCTTTTTAAGATTTTTTTAAATTGATAAACACATTTACAAAGTTGTTCGTGATTGAATTTCAATCATATAATGTTCCAACACTTGCCCCTTCATCAATGTACTTGTACTATTCCCACAACAAATGGTCCCCATTTCCCTACCACCATCTTCTTTCTTCTTCTCTTCTTTTCTTCTTCTTCTTCTTCTTCTTCTTCTTCTCCTCCTCCTCCTCCTCCTCCTCCTTCTTCTCCTTCTCCTTCTCCTCCTCCTCTTTCTCCTTCTCCTTCTCTTTCTCCTTCTCCTCTTTCTCCTTCTTCTCCTTCTCCTCCTCCTCCTTCTCCTTCTCCTTCTTCTTCTTCCTCTTCTCCTCCTTCTCCTCTCTCCTCTACTCTCTTCTTCTCTTCTCTCCCCCACCTTTTGTGCCTTAATGGTTTGCAACACAGATAATGAAAGGTTATGAGCTATATCCCTTTACCTACTTTCAACACTCAGTTCCTGTCCAAAATGGTCATTTTCAACTATTATTTTATCATGCTGATCCCTTCTCTATCCTAAGTGCCCTTCACCCCACACACACTCTTCTGGCAAGCTTCCAATCATTGACTAGTCCTCCTTAGTCAGAAGGAGAAGAATACTTTAGAGGAGAAACAAATCCCAAGATGAATGGACATCCAGTACTAAAGACAGCAAG